AAAGCATATCCACAGGTACAAATGAACACCAAGAAGATCATCAGTGGATGAGTAATCAGAGTATCCAATGGCTGGTAAATGTCAGTCTTTAGCAGAAGTTAAAGTCAGAGACTGGCAGACAGAGGCACACAGGAAATTCTTCCAAGCTCCCAGCAGAGCTGCTTCGAATGCAGAGAAATGGAAATGACAACCTCAGGTGCTGGGGGCAATTAGTACAGAGATGGTTGCAAACAGAAGGATTTGTTGGCGAGAACATGCAGGATGGAGAACGTGTGACCAAGTGGTAAACTTTGTTATGCGATGCAGACAACTTGGACTTTGATACGACATGAGAAGTGCCTGTGGTTTTTTGAGGAGAGATGCCCTGATAAAAAATGCTGCTGATCAAATATCATTCTAGAGTTTACAACCGAAACACCAACTGAAAAGTTGTAACAGAAAACCCTTCACTTTATAAAAAAAAATAAATAAATAAATCACAAAGCTCCTTATAGTTTGCTACCAATTCATACTAGCAAAGACGTCTCTTGGTGGGTGGGCTATATGGAGATCTGTCTTACAAGGAGAAGGTTTTCATGGCCAAAAGTTCTGGGTGTTTTCCCTAAGTTGCCATTAGGGCACAGGCTAAAAAACTATCTTAATTCTCATATACTTTATGTATTTTGTACATGGTCTTAGGATCTGGTTTTTGTTTTAAGTGCACCACAGTAGCTGCTTCCCAAATCAGGCCATTCTGTGCAGCATAACCGGACAGAGCGAAGAAAGAAACTGAACGGAAGAAAACGATGGAATGTCACTATTGGCCTGACCTCTTACAAAGGATAGAGCTGAATTTCAAAGTATGTATCCACCACCCAGGCCCCGGGGAACTCCTCAGACCTAAACAAATCTCATCATGAAACTACACTGTTCTAAGTTTCTCTCTTGTTTTATAGGTATATGGGTATGTGTGTTTTTCTGTACTGAAAGCGGTCTAAGAAAAAGCCTGATACAAGCCAGTCCTCTATTTTATATGGCAGAAGGAACCCAGTAAACACAAACACAGCGAAACACTTCCTCTTGTTGACAACCTTATGATTTCAACTTAATGCATTGTTTAGAATAGCAATTATGTGTCATTTCCCATTATCTTACACACAGAATCAGCACTGCTTTTCTTTCCAACCACAGATCATGGAGAATACACAGAGACCACATGCTGGTGAGACATGTCAAGACTGACATCCCAGAGTCTAAGAGTTCTGTTTATGTCCAGAGCACGTGTGCGGCCAGGCAGTGGGAATGAAATCAGCCCCCCTCCCCCATACCCCACCTTCTCCCGTCTGCCTTCTTGGCTTCCCTCGCTCTCTTGGAGGGCTCCCTTCTCCCCCTTGTGGGGCTCCCCTCTGGACTGGGAGGCAAAGCAGCTTAGGAAGAACCTTCTTGTTCAGCCAGTGTCCTGCTGGAAAAGACTGGCTCATTCTCAAGACGGCAAACATGTGACCACTGCAAACAGCAGCGAGCATGTCAAGTCGTTTTATTCACATGTCTCACTAGAGGATCAGAAAGCCAAGGACACACTGGTGATTTCCCTGATTTTATGGATCTCTACTCCCCCCAGGCCTGCAACACATTTTTGGTTCTTGTGTTCAGAGCGACCTGGCATCTGCAGTGTGGGAAACCTTAACTGAGAGCCAGCGGCCCCGTAGCTTCTCCCTATTAAAATGTGCAATTGGATTTCACATGCGAGTTTCAAACACCATTCAAGGCTTGATTTACAGGCTACTGTCTAGCCCCACAGATGTTTTTTCGTCCCCCAGATGTAACCATTTCTAGGAAACCACCAATCGGTTCCCCAGCAAATAGACTGTCCATTTTCAACCTCTTCTATCATTCTTGGGCATTTTGAATCACACAACACCTACATAGAAAGGATTCAAGAAAATATTGATTGAATGGACAAACTGTTAATTTTTCTTTCCATATTATCCATTAATGAGAAGAGCCCATTTGAAACCTTTTCTCTGTTTACCCCACCGTAAACCTGTAGGTTCATCCCACTTAAAATATCACTCCTGACCCACTGATCCAGATTATTTACATACACTGAAATCAGCACAGATCCAATGAGTTCTGTGTAAGCCTCACTAGAATGGCCACTCAGAGTGTTCACATTCATTATCCTTTCTTCTACAGAAAGAGAAAAACACTTTTAAATACTGAACTTATCTCCCTGTGGCTAATAGACTACCTGTGTTACACAGAGAGTTAGCCAATATCATTTCATCATGTTTCTGCAACCATCCTTCTCCCAAGGTCCTAACCTTGTCTAGCTTCCAAGCATCAGAAATCACCCCTGAAAAAGGTGAGGCTTCAGGCTAAGAGCTGCGATTAGTTCAACACCATGCTGATAACATCTTCTAAACATTTGATTCTGAACTGGGCAGCCAGAATGGCACTGTATTAATTCATGATTCTTCTGTGCATCACACAGCTCCTGGCAGAGAGTACAGGCTCAGAAAGTTGACTGAACTTGACTCTTTTTTAGCCTATGCAGAGGAAGGTAGGGCTTCCCAGGTGGCACTAGTGGTAAAGAACCTGCCTGCCAATGCAGGAAACATAATGAGACATGGATTTGATCCCTGAGTCGGGAAGATCCCCTGAGGAGGCATGGCAACCCATTCCAGTACTCTTGCCTGAAGAATCCAATGGACAAAGGAGCCTGGTGGGCTACAGTCCACAGGGTCACAAACAGACATGACTGAAGTGACTTAGCCAGCACGCTCACAGAGGAAGGTGAGCCATGCACCGAGCGGTCTGCAGGATGTCCATGTGCTGGGGATTAAGACCCACCTTCCAAGGGAGGAGGACAAAGGGAAAAGACGGTAAAACATGGAAACAAATGTGCCAGGAAAAGCCTTTGCTAGGAATGGTGCTTGGATAGATCTATTTCACCCAAGTGTGAAAGTGTTAGTTGCTTAGTCATGTCTGACTCTTTGTGATGCCATGGATTGTAGCCCACCAGGCTCCAAAGTCCATGGAATTCTCCAGGCAAGAATATTGGAGTGGGTAGCTTTTCCTTTTTTCAGGGGATCTTCTCAACCCAGGGATCGAACCCAGGTCTCCTGCATTACAGACAGATTCTTTACCACCTGAGCCACTAGGGACGCCCCATTTCACCCAAATGGCTCCAGAAACGTAGCTTCCATTTCAGATAAAAGAAACTCATTAACAATCATGCGAATGCTTGTTATCATGTGAAGACCTTACAATGTACATAAAATTCTGTTTTTCCCTTTGTTGCAATATACCAACATCTTCCAAGGAACAGAAGCTCAAGGTGCAAAGGGGACATTTTCTGTAGTGTTTCACATGTGTTCCCCACCCCTGTCTCCCAACCCCGCCGCCCTTAGCTTTGAGACTCTAAGTTTTCCTGGAAAACAACAACAAAAAACAACACAGGCTAAACTGCCACACATCAGCAGAAGAGATAAGTGTGCTCACTTCATTACGAGCCACCATCATAATAACAAGCCTTCACTGCTAAACAGAAGTCCTTCAAGATAGAAATACCAGCAAGGAGCTACTGTGTTTAATCTGGTGTTTAATGATTGGCAAAGAAAAGGCCACTAAATTCTGCAACTCAACAAAAGGAACTTTTAGTCCCAGGACTTACCTTTCCTTTTCCTCCCAGCTTTCTCTCAGACCTTGTGAATGAAGGTTCATCACTTACTCTTTTGCTAATCAGATAGTCAGACCACGTGGACATGCTGGAGCTGTCAGATCTTCAGGTAACCTAAGAAGTCTATCTTTTTAAACCCTTACATTAAACATAACCCCAAACTCATGCTTCGGCCTCAAAGACCAAAACTGCAATCCAAGGATGTAAACTGCTGCATAAAATGACCATTTATTAAATGTATATCTTTTCTCATTAATCTCTCAAGGCCATCAAGGGGTAGGTATCATCATCCAATTTGACCTTTGAGTGTAGGAAGCTAAGATTGCCCAGGAAAACACAACTGGCATTGAGAGAAGTAAGACTCAAAGCCAAGCCTTTGTTCTGAAGAGCCCATGAACTTTCTTGCCAGCCCACTAAGCTCCTACCAAGGACGTAACGACAGACCTTGCTTGGGAAACAGTCCATTCCCTGACCTGGGAAGTATTCAGGCTGGCGGTAGATAACCGGTTACCAGAGATGCTGAAGAAGGCATTCAACACCAGGTCAGGGAAGAGAGCAGCTCCTAGCCCTCCTACCTCAGCAAGAATCTACAGACTTCTTCCTCTCCTAAGCATGTGACTCTGCAGTCATCTGAGGTGAGCAGTTAACACCATTCCGTTTCTTGGGCTGATCTAAACCAACCATGCTTTGCTGGGCTCTGCCACATGGGCCATCTCGCTCTCATTCTCTCTGGCGTACAGCTTTGATTACACCACCAATGAGGAGACTCCCTCCAGGGCTTCCTGGATGTAGCCTGAAGCTCCGAAAGTGGGCAGTTACTCCCTCCCTTCAACTGATGCTTCCTCATCAGTCTTCAGCCATAAAAAAAAAAAAAAAATCACAAGGTGACTCCAAAATGACACATCCCCACCATTCACCCTTTCCATTCCCGCTCTGAATTGTGTTAACATATACATCTGGTACCCCCAAACACTTCACAGCATACATACCAATAAATAATACCAATAAGTAAACGAAGGAACACGCCCAGTATTCCTCACGGTCCTGCGCTCAGCCACCAAGGGAGAACTCAACACGAACCCAGGACACACGCGCTCTTTCCACAAGCTGCACACATATCCGTGCAGACACGTCTTGTCTCGGAACCAAAGAGATGCTCACCAGGTTCACTTCGCCCTCCACCTCCAACGTCTATACTGTTCCAACCTTTTCACGTTTCTTCCTTCACCTGAACCATCAGGTTTTCATATACGATTTTCTTCTAAAAAGAAGGCCTGGCTGTTAATCCCCGTCCACCCCCGCCCCAATGGTGGATGCCCGCGTCGAAGCCCGGTTTTACCATTGGAATCTTCCACTTCTTCGGCCGGGCTGGCTTTTTGGGAGGCGTGGTGGGCGTGCGAGGAGAGGAGGCTGACAATCCGCGGCCTGGGGAGGGTCAGGGCTTTTCCGTGGCCCTTGAGGGAGTGTTCCTTCAGCTGGCTGATTGTCATGGTGGAAAAGGAGCACCACGAACACTTGTAGGCGTGCTCACCTGGAGGAAGACAGTGGGGGCGCCAGAGGAGGAGGAGGACGGGAGACGGGAGGAAATAACGCGGTTAGTTCACTCAGAGAGCACGCCTCAAGCTGTCTGCCCTGAGAACCCTCTCAGACCAACCCCTTGGCAACACCATCCCCCCAGCCCTCCAGCATCAAGTGATCTGGTCCCTCTCCACCCCATGCTCAGTTTATGGGAAGGAGCCTACAGTGATTCCCCAGCAGAGCCTGAAATCAAATGTCTAGCTAGCTCCCTCAGAAAGTCTTCCCATCTCTCTTCTTCTGTCTGTATAACAGAAATGACTGTGTCTGTTTTCATTTCAGCCTTTGCATCATCCACAGAAAATAATACACTTCATTCTTATTCCAAGGGTTGATGGGTGGCTTTCCCAGTACCAAGTCACTCGGTGCAAACTATTGTACCATCCTCGTAACTCACTTCCTTGATGACTCTAGGCGTCCTGGATTTCACACATCCCATATATGGGGTTTTCTTTGGACCTGTTCACAAACTTGAGAACAAAACTCTATTTCCCTATCTGATCAACAGTACAGAAATGGGTCAAAGTGATTTCTTAAACGACAGAGGTGTATACATATATAAAAATGTGTGCATCTGTGTGTGGCTCATATATTTTTAAATTTTAAATTTTATATTTTTATAAAATAAATATTTTATATTTTCAATATAAAGGGCATTTAAATAAAAATAGCTCAGTTGGTGAAGAATCCACCTGTCATGCAGGAGACCCCAGTTCGATCCCTGGGTCAGGAAGATCCACTGGAGAAGGGATAGGCTACCCACTTGGGCTTCCCTTGTGGCTCAGCTGGTAAAGAATCCACCTGTAATAAGGGAGATCTGGGTCCAGTCCCTGGGTTGGGAAGATCCCCTGGAGAAAGGAAATGCTACCCACTCCAGTATTCTGGCCTGGAGAATTTCATGGACTGTACAGTCCTTGGGGTTGCAAAGAGTCAGACACAGCTGAGCGACTTTCACTTCCCTAAGTAGAAATAAGTATTTTTGTTTTATTCAAAATAATTTTAATTGGAATATAGTTGATTTACAATGTTGTGTTTCTGTTGTACAGCAGAGTGAATCAGTTATACATATATCCACTCTTTTATAGATTCTTTTCCCACAAAGGTCATTACAGAGTACTGAGTGGAGTTCCCTGCGCTAAACACCAGGAGGTTCTTATGTGTAGCGTGTATATGTCAGTCCCAATCTCCAGTTAATCCCCCCCTCTTTCCTTGGTAACCGTAAGTTTGCTTTCTAAAAGTACTTTCCTTTTAACTGTTTTTATACCACTGAAATACAGCTCAGATCACTACGATCAAGTTAAATGAGACTATGATTTACTTTTGCCCTAAGCCAGCTTTTAAATGAACTGCAGGGTGTAAAATGGGCATGCATACGTCATTGGACAGACAAACGCTGGTACAATCAAGTCAGAAAGCAATTCTGCTTTTAACAACAATAGTTTAGAAAGCTCAGGCCTGAAATTCAGTAATTCCACTTCTGAGAGTTTATATTAAGGAAATATCCTTAAGTACTCAGAAATCTCTATTTAGAAATATATATTATTTATGCTTAAAAAAGGGATGAAACAATCTAGGTCTCCAACCCCAGGGAAATGATTAAGTAAATGTGGGTATATCTTCTTGATAAATTACTATTCATTAAAATAAATTCTTAAAGAGTTGGTCATACATAGGAAAATAAACTTCTGATACTCAGAAAAATAAATAGAAAGGCATAATACATTAAATTATAATCACACCTAGGAGAAAAAATTACAGAGGAAATGGCTGAAAGGAAATATTATCAAATATTAATTAACAGTGTTCTTTAGATAATAAGGTTGTGAATGGCTACTGCATTTCTTCTTTTATTTTCAAATTTTCTCTAAAGAACATGTATTTTTAAAATTTATTTTTAAGGTAAAATGTAAAATCCAGAGGAGAGGACCAGTGAATGTGAACTGAGGACGATGCTGACGATGTCCTACAGACAAATGCTCACTATAGCAAAGCAAGAAAGAGCAAGTAAACCTCCATCCTTGCTTTTACCCTGTTGTGATGGCTACCTTCCTGCCACCTAATTACTAAGTGGAAAATTACTAAGTGGTTTCATGTGAGGCAACGCCAGCATCCAAAGTCCTGCATTCAGCCTCCTTTTTACAACTGATGACCCCCACAGTGTGCATTTCCAAGAAAGCCTTGAAGAGACCCACACAAAACCTTGAATGATGCAACATGCTACAGCCCAAAGCAGAAGGGAAGCTCAAAAAGTCAGAGGACCCAAACAAGAAATCAGTCAATTCCACGCTCCTCAAACCATGACCTGGGAGCTACAGGATAATGCTGGGCATGAACAATGATATTTACTAACATAATAAATACAGGGACCTCCCTGCTGGGGCCCAAGTTTGATCCCTGGTCAGAGAACTAGATCCCACATGCTGCAACTAAAGATCCCTCATGCTGCAATTAAGACCAGGTACCGCCAAATAAATAAACACTTTAATAAACAATTAAAATAAGCATATATGTCATTTTATATACTACTGCTCTTCTTATTTCACTTCTTGATTTTTCAGTGCAAAGATGGCTATGTGAACCCTCGTGGGTGGTCATAAGTGGCATAACTTGAGAGAGAATTCCAATCCAGGTATCTGGTTAGCACACACTACTTTTTGCCCTTTAAAATAAAATATTCTATTGAGTAGAATAGACAAGTCAAGAGTCTTTTTGGAAAATGATTTGACTTGAGCCATGTCATAGATACCAAGGTTGCAAGATACCAAGATGTCCCAGGTGTGCAGAGGACTAGATAGCATTGCTCCCACTCTCTCTGGACGCTTTCTTCTTGCCAACCAGTGAGCACAGAAGGCAAGTCTGCTTGGTCAGCTCCAAGAATATCGCTTCAGCTCCGTGCCCTAGAGTCAGTGTGTAGCCTGTGGCACTTTATTTTAAAGTCCTTCCCACAGGCCAAATCACTTACCCAACTCCCACTGGTAAAGTGTTTTTGACAAGGCTGAGATCTATAGGAAAAACTTCTGAGGATGGTGTCCCAGCTGAATAATTTATAATATACACCAGTTAGAAAAGAGTGGCTTGATCCCCAAAACCTCTTACTCCTTGGACTTTAGTAAAATGTTCTGGGAGATTTAAAAATACTAACAGAAAAGAGCCTATACAGCTAATCTGCTGACCACCTCCCGCACCCCGCCACCTGCTGTGAACTTAAAGCTTCAGTAGTTTTACTTCATTAAGACAGTTCAACAGAACCCAACATTCAGGAAATAACAAAGAGATGGTCTTATTTCCACAAGGGATGCTGCTGCTGCTGCTGCTAAGTCACTTCAGTCGTGTCCAACTCTGTGCGACCCCAGGGACGGCAGCCCACCAGGCTCCCCCGTCCCTGGGATTCTCCAGGCAAGAACACTGGAGTGGGTTGCCATTTCCTTCTCCAATGCATGAAAGTGAAAAGTAAAAGTGAAGTCGCTCAGTTGTGTCCGACTCTTAGAGACCCCATGGACTGCAGCCCACCAGGCTCCTCTGTCCATGGGATTTTCCAGGCAAGAGTACTGGAGTGGGGTGCCATTGCCTTCTCCGCCACAGGGGGTGAAGAGATGACCAAAGTGAAGGACTTGTGTTCTGGGCAGTTTTCATAACCATACAACAGAAGTTAATAAATGAGACGGAAAAGTTCTAGCTGATTGAAAAATTTAAAGCTAGAATTCATGGTGGGGAGGGGTGGAAGAGAGGTTCAAAAGGGAAGAGATATATGTTTATATAGGGCTGATTCACTTCATTGTATAGCAGAAACTAATGCAACACTATAATGCAATTATACACCAATAAAAAAGTAAAAAATAAACTAGAATTCAACTAGTATTCTAAATACCTTAGCTGAGGAAACTCATGGAGGAGACTTGATCTCTAGGAGAATCTCTGATAGTATCAGTAGCTATTCTAAAGTTGTCTGTTTCCCCAACTTCCCTCTGCATTTGAAGCAAGTTCCTCAAGGGCTGTCGACACCTCTGAGAGGGCACCAGAGGCGGCGGTACAGTTGGGCTTCTCAGAGGACTGAGGAATCATGGGAAATGCCCCCAGGCTCCCCCGCCACTGCCTTTCCTACTCAGGCCTCTTTCCTCTCTCGGCAGAGTTCTGATTAGCTATCTGTGGGCATCTCCATCATACGCCAAGTAGAGAAGAGCAAAACAGAGAGAGGTAGCAACATGTGAGTTCAAGGATGTTTGGGTTTTGTGCTGGAGTCAAGATTCTTAGTGAATGGGCTGTGGCTGAGAAAGTGTTCAGTGTCAGGCGCTCAGTCGTGTCCAACTCTTGCGACCCCATGGACTGTATAGCCCACCAGGTTCCTCTGTCCGTGGAATTCTCCAGGCAAGAATACTGGAATGGCTAACCATTCCCTTCTCCAGGGGATCTTCCTGACCCAGGGATCAAACCCGGGGCTCCTGCATTGCAGGTGGATTCTTTACCATCTGAGTCACGAGGGTGGCCATGAGCAGGACACTTAATTTTGAATCTCTGTAGCTTCACCTGAAGAGTGAAGAGTGACAACAGCATCCACCCTTTAGGGTTGTTTTGAGGATTAAATGGGATGATGAACATCACATCTTCTTAGGGCAGAGCCTAGGGATGTTCATGAGCCCAGCCCGATGAGAAGACAGAGTAACAGAGGTCAGCACAACTCCTGGACACTCAGGACCCAAGATCTGTCTTATCTGGGACATGGAAATGAATCTAAGGGCATCTCAGGAGAAATCTCAGACATCCTGATTTCTCTCTGCCCCTTTCAACATTTCTAAGATTAGAACTTTATTTTAGTTGGAAATTACTTTTAGTAGATGTACCAATTCTTGCACTTCCATTAGAAAGTCTATGTAATGTAGAAATTTCTCTTAAAAAAACAGAACCCGTGAGTAGCAAAAATCTGTTAGTGGATACATATTAGTTGAATGAATCAACTATGACATGGGTGACATGGGGCTTGGTTTTATTTTGCCTTTGGGGCCATTCTTTAATTTTTCTTTATTAGCTTGAGATAAAACTGAATACATGACGATTTCAAAGAAAACTTATTCTCATGTGTATGCAGCAAGAGACTTAAAATTTCACTCACTAAAGACCACTGGATTTCAAATTCAGAGAACTAGTGTACAATGAACAACAGCTCACCAGCATGAGCTTTGAGGATGTGTGTCTTCAGCCGGCTGTTGTAGGAGGATTTGAAGGAGCAGAGTTTGCATCGGAATGGTTTGTGGTGTCCGTGGTGGGTTTGCATATGGCGATCCAAACTGGATGTAGAAGAGAAAACAAAAAGGAAATGACAGGATTAAAAACAGCATCTAACATTTTCTCATTGCCCTTTTAAAGAAATCCCATTTCTAAGCTGTTCAAAGTAATTTTGTTACTTTCCAAGGATGGCACTTATCCGGAAAAAAAAGATTGGCAAGAGCTGGGGAAGCTAAAGGAAGGAAGAAATCAAAAATGTTTTTGGATTGAGAGACATGGCAATGGAAACAGGTCTTGGTAGACTCATTTTCCCTTCTCTAAAGCATTGCAAAGTAGAAGAGGACATCCAAAAACAAAAGGTAAAATACGGACAAATTAAAGTTTTCTGCAAAGTCAGTGAGTAGTGTCTATCAAAGAGGCCTTGAACTTATTCCCCATCTTCCCCCACAAAATGAGATTTAGAGAAACTTTGTATGTAAAAAGGGCTGACTTTCTTTTTAAATCTTAATTCCACCATAAACACCTGTGCAGGGCAGGGAGCTTTCAAAGTGGCTGAACTATCTGCAATGGGCTGTCTATTTCCACAGTCTTTATATATATGGAGGCCCAGGGCAGGCATGTTTATGGGAAGCTGTGTGATCCAAAGGCTGGCCTTGCCTTCTGATAAAACCATGTTTGCTGTATACCAGTCGTTCAGAAGCAACTTACACAGAAATTATTATAATGAACTCCCAGTATTTCATAATAATTACTACTGTTAAAAAAATAATAAATCTACCAAACAAGGTGTGGGAAGACGTTCTAATTTGTATCAGTGCCCCAGAGAACTAGATTCCATTCTAAATGACTCATATGGGAACGGTACTTCTTAGCATTTAAATATATAATGTTCTCCCAAGCTCCCAAGCAGCACTTTCCATTGCCTCAGGACACCTCCTTCTGGACGTCCTTCAGCTATCTTAAACTCAACCAACCTGAAACAAAAGTGTCGGTTTTGTTTTGTTTTTTTTAATCCAAAACAAATTCTCTTCACTTCCTTGTTTTTAGAAAGAGCACTTCCATGCTGTCAGTCAACTAGGCTGGAAACCTCCATGTCATTTGCACTGTACTCTGTCCAGTCTCCCCTCCAAGAAGTCAATTTTTCCAAGCCATGAAGATCATCCTTCCCTTAACTGTTTCCAAAGTTCCGTTCTAAGCCGTTGGCTCAGCTATCTATCATGAGCCTCCTACCTGGTCTCCCCCATTTTTTTTCCCCCCAACTCAAAAGCGCAAGTGATGCAGTCAGACTGCCTGGGATCAAACACCAGCTATTACTCATAAGCCGAGTGGCCTTGGGCAAGTTACACAACTTCTCTACGTTAAAAGGCCTGACTTCTCTTTATCCATAAATGGAGATAATAATGGGACCACACTTCATAGGGCTGTTCTGAGAATAAAATGAGATAATGCTTGAAGGTACATAGCACAATGCCTGGCACACAGTGAGGCTTGACAAATGTCAGTGATTAAGATATCTACTCATTACAGTCTTCCTTTTACCAGTAACGTAAATTACAAAGCATGCCTTCCCCATTCAAAGACCCCAAATATGGTCTCAAGTATTCAGACTTTACCTTCTACTATATCACTTAAAAATTAGTCCAACCAAGGACTTCCCTGGCGATCCAGTGGTTAAGACTCCATGCTTCCACTGCAGGAGGCATGAGTTTGATCCCTGGTCAGAGAGCTAAGATCCCACATATCTTGTGCCCCCCCACCCCAAAAAGTCCAACAGGACCACCAGCCGAGTGCCTCTGAGCATCACCTTCATCTTTCCTTTCACACTATATGTTCTTTCCAAACTCTTCAAGTCCTACCCTCCTACTTGAAGACTTGACCCAAAAACTCCCTATTCCATAAAATCCTGATTCTTCAAAAAGTGGATGTACCATCTCTCTTCTTTGAAACTTCGTAGCATTTTATTGATACATTTTTTAAAGACATGTGCGTTATTTTGCCAAGTCATTTGGATGCTTCCTTTACTTATAACTCAACTAGACCCTGAGTTCCTTTAGACCACCAACCATGTCCTATTCATGTTTATATTCCCCCCAAAGCATTTGCAACAGAGCATATTCGTTTATTCACAACAGCTTACTGAGGTTCTGTGTGTCAGAAAAGAGAGTCGCTGTCCAACAAACATTTACTGAACAGGTGAGAACTACACTAGTTTAAGGCCAGAGCATGAATCTGATGACAAAGATTAGATACTAGGACCTGTATAATCACAAAAGCCATTGCAACCCTCCCTAACCTCGGTAGAAGCATCGCCTCTTCTTGCCGTTCAAAAACCACTAACTAGCACCTTATCTTTTTGAAGAAGCAAACAGCCCATCATTTATTTTCAGTTATGATAAAAATAAACAGCATGTCAGCGTCACAATCAGCCACCTTCATCCAAGACTGCAGAACATGTTATTGAATATTTCTCGCTCATACAGTTGTGAGAGAAAGGCAACAAAAGGTTGTTGCATCTCAGAGCCATCCCTCTTCCCATCACTCTGAACGGCCTCACACAAAAACCCAATGTGCAATTTCAAAGCTGTGCCAAGTAGTGGAAAGCTCCCTCTGCCAAACCCCCTACATTTCAAACATCTCTCCAGCATCAATAAACTTCTTTACCATTCCAGGTCTTTTTTTTTTTTTTTTAATGCCAAGCAATGACTCTTTGGTCACATGGGTTAACAGTCCTAATTTTACCTCCTTAGCCACTTAAATTTCCCAAATGGAAACTTACTTCCTCATATGATGACTAGGTTCTGGATGAATGTTTGACAGATGCACCAGTAAACTAATGTACTCTCTGGTCTTTCCTGGTGTAGATCATAGCAATTCCTCCAAAACCATCATATTTTTAAAATGCCCAATTTAGAAAACTCCGATTAGAAAAGATACATGCACCCCAATGATCACAACAGCACTATTCACAACAGCCAAGACACGAAAGCAACCTAGATTTCCATTGTTAGATAAATGAATAAAGAAAATGTGGCATATTTATACAGTGGACTGTTACTCAGTTATAAAAAAGACATTGGCAGCACCATGGATGCAACTAGAGATGATCATACTAAGTGAAGTAAGTCAGACAAAAACATCATATGATATTACTCATATGTGGAATATTAAAAAATGATATAAATGAATGTACTTACAAAACAGAAATAGATTCATGGACATAGAAAGCAAACACATGGTTACCAAAGGGGATGGTTGGAGGTGGGGGGCTAGGGAGATTAACAAGTACACACTATCATATATAAAATACATAAACAAGGACCTATTGTATAGCACAAGGAACTATACTCAATATCTTATATTAATAATAACCTATACTGGAAAAGAATCTGAAAAAGAATATGTGTACGTATTTGTGTGTGTGTGTGTAACTGAATCATTTTGCGATATACTTGAAACTAACACAAACTTGTAAATTAACTACACTCTAGTTTTTTGAAAAACGCTTGATTTTGCCAAGTCTGGTATCAAGTGACCAGTCTCCTGTTCTCAGCCCCATTTGACAGATGGGGTGACTGAGGCTCAAGGTAACATAGCCAACTAAACAGTGGGCGTGAACCAGGAGAGGGGTCTTGAGACTCCTCCAACCGCTCGGGCTTGCCATGCCCCTTCCCAGGTACCACTGGTGGACCCTCGGTGAGCACTTACTTGTGCCTGAAAGCAGAAACAAAGGAGCAATACTGGCAGCTGTACTTGTCCTCGCGGGTAAACATGGCCAGGGCCAGATGGCTCCTCTCATGAGAACGCAGCCCCTGCATGGACATCAGGACTCTGTCACATTGACTACAATGGTATCCCCCCGGCCGGGTTTCATCCTCCAACATTCCATCAAGCAAGCAGTGTTCACCATCCACCCGGTCCACCAGGGCGCCAGGGGCATCTTTGGCTGCTTCCAGTCCATCCAGGAACAAGTGGGAAGGGTCTTCAGCCTCCTGCTAAGAGAACCACACACACACACATGCCCCACCAACAAAATAAATATCCATCATCATCGCCCCCAGCTCTCCTCCTCTCCCTTCATTCTCCCAAACTCATCAGCATTTCCTGTTAAGGCGTCCTCCCCTGCCTCTCTGGCTCCCCTAGAGGAAGGGCACAGCTGAATGCCATCCTCATGCAGTGGTGGTGACAGGAGGGCACCATCTGGGCACAGGCTGCTACTGTCTGAGAAATGTGAGGGACAGGCTCTCCCACTTTTGAAGACAGTTCACTCCCTTATCTCCCATCTTACAGAGGAAATTCTAACTGGGACCCTACTGAAACTGGTACAAAGCAGATTAGGGTTATGGCTCTGAGAAAGGAAGAAAGGCAGGAAGAAGGAAAAACAGAATGGTTTGGGCATTTAGGAGCCTTGGAACACCCTCAGGAGAGGAAGGAAACTGAAAGATCCAGCTGTTTGCCACCATGCTCATCTCCAGCCCACAGATGGTGACGTCACCCCTTGACCGAAGGCCGCTATATAGTCAACACAAAAAATTAAGGAGAAGCCTGGGTTTAAGTTGCTTGTGTTTCGAGGTGGTTCCTTGGATTACACAGGAAGAGCTGCTCTGTCTCCCTCGAGCGATTCGGGGACGCAAGGCTGGGACACACCACGATGGCGGGCAAGGACCTGGCCGCTGCTGTCCCAGCACCACTGACGGCTGTGTCGCCAGCAGGAAGGCTCCAGTCTTCAATGGGAAAAGCAGAAGCTTTACCTCCAGGCCACAATGGCAAAACAGGACGCAAGATCAAGAAGGGCCCATGACAAAAACACATTCATGTATCCAAAGAGACAGGGCAGAGCCCTGAACTAACTTCTCTGCTCAAAACTGATCACTGGCTAACAATATCCTAGGAAGCAGGGATAGTGGCTTGGTTATTAAAACAGTGACTAATATTTAAGATTGTGATGTTCAAAACAGGTGGCCTGATAACACGTCGGAGGCAGAGGGGAGGTGCTTGTCAGCAACATATAGGGAAAGGGGATGGGAGAGACAAATCAGGTCAAAGGGCTCACAGGGCCAACTGTGACTTGAAGGCTTTCAGTTTTAGATTTAATGTTTCTTCATGCTCCTCCGAGGACCCAGAATAAGAAGTTAAAAGACAGATTCTCCTGGGCTCTCTGCACCATTACCAGATGAGAAAGACAGACAAGAAGTCAGGCAGCAGGAGGAGCAGAAGAGGATGGGGAGAGAAGCCACGGGGCTCCTCTCAAGAGCCCGAAACACTTGGAAACGCAAACACAGCACAGGAAAGTGACCCAAAGCCTCCTGTATCCAGAGGCCCGGATCTTCTGTTTCCACCGAACTATCCGCGTGGAAGGGAACCAGATCGAAACGCAACCGGGTGGAGACACGGAAGATGAGGAGGATCCAACCTGTAAAGAAATCAAAACAAGCCAGACCGATCCCAGTGTAACTCAGGAATGCCCACGTCTGGGACGCCCTTTCCTGAGTGGCTCTGAGCAGCGGCGTGGATTAGGAACGCGAATAGCTCACACACAAGACTTCTCATCCAGACCTTCCCAGTGCTCACCTTCACGGCGGCGGACACGGAGGGGACGCTGCCGTACTGGACGTGCTTGCGGAGGTGGTTGCAGATGGCTCGGAGCGTCGGATGCACTTCCACACAGAATTTACACTTGTAGCCCACCACCTTCCTCTCCTTGATCTTTGGCACCTCTTCTAAGTGACCAAAAGGCTGGTAAAATACAGTGGTAGCCATCAGTACTCCGAGCCCTCCCTCAATGGCCGGCATTTATTCTTGCAGCTTACTAGATTTTACGTTACAGCAGATTAGCAGGTTAAGAACCAAGGGAGATATATGCGAGCATTTTTACATAATGAATTCATCAGAGGCGAGGCGCGCTGCCGACTACGCAAAGTCTCCGGAACCCCAGTAGGTGACGACTTGTGAGGAGAGAAGTTCTCGGTGCAGAAGCCTCATCATCACTGCCACCCAGTTATCTGGCTTTCAAACCCATCGTTCAACTATGCAGGTGAAACGTTGCATGAGCTATGCCATGAGTGAACTTCTTGACCAAAAAGAAAAGAAAAACAAAAATCTACTCCTGGAGATGTCTGGTTCGTGGAGCCGACACTGCAAACCAAGGCATGGCTGAGAAGCACTAAGGACAGGAGAGATGGCCCACAACTGCCTTGGTTAAGAGAGCGAGCGGTTGTCGTGAACTAGGCCTCAGATAATACAGGAAAACCACCCGACCCTCCCCTGGGGAGGCTTGGGAGGGACCACAGGGAGGGGGACCGGGGCGGTGGAGAAGGGTGAGCAGAGAATGGGGGAGATAATCAAGCTCGAAATGTTTAATTGACTTATTGAGCTCTCTGGCAAGCTAAGTCACTAGGAAGCCCGGAGCGGTTTGGCTGGCAGCGAAGAAGTGCATGTGGGCACCAGTGATGAGAGGCCTCCTGGGGGAAGGGAAATCAAAACATATCCTTACCCTCTCTTGTTTGAAATCTGCAAAAGCACCATCTGCATATTTCTGCTTGCTCAAAAGCTGTTTCCGCCTCTCCTGACGTTTGGCACGCTTCTGGAATTCCTCATTGTGAATGTTCAAGTGCGAGGTCAGCTCGGCGGTGCTCTGCAGTTTGCTCTCGCAATGCTTGCATTGGTAGGCGGAGCCCTGCAGCCGGGGGCCGCCGCCCAGGATGACGAAGTCCCTCTTGAGGTCCCGGCTATGGTGGTCGGTGTAGTGCATGCTCAGCAGCTCGGCCGTGCTGAAGGACAGCTTGAAGCACTTGATGCAGCGGAACGGGAGCCACTCGATGTCCTGCCCTTCGTTTCCTTCCATCTCGGCTTTCTCGAAGGCGCCTCTCTCTTCCGAATCTTCCATCAGCAGCGGCTTCTCGTGCTCGTCGGCGTAGACCGCGGTGAAGTAGCCCCCTAGCTTGCTGGCGTGCTGCTTCTTGGGGAAGACCCCCGGGTGGCGCTTCATGTAATGGGACACGATGCCCTTCTTGCTGAAGGACTGGAAGGCGCAGAGAGAGCACTTCTTCTTCTCCACGGCGCGCCGCAGCTCTTCGCTGAGTGGCGGGGAGTCATCCTTGGGCGGCGACGGGATGATCACCTTGTTGGGCTTGTCGCTGATGGTTCTGGAGGCCGCCAGGCAGTGGGTGTAGTAGGCGTCGATGTCGTGGCGCTTCTGGTAGTGGGCAGCCAGCCCTTTGCGGATGGGGTTGGTGTAGGCACAGAGGGCGCACTTGAAGAGGTTGTTCTTGCCCTCGGGCTGGGCGCGCACGTTGTTGTGTTTGATGCGGTAGTGCCGGGCGATGCCCTTCCGCGTGGAGCAGAAGTACTTGCAGAGCTGGCACCGGAACACAGTGTGGGACACCAGGTGCGAGGTAGCGAAGTGAGACGTGGACACGGGCTCCTCTCCCGCCTCGTCCTCGGTCACCGATACCTGGGAGGGGCTCACTTCAGTGGTTATCTCCGGCTCGAGGGACATGGGCAGCTTCGGGGGCGACTGGGAAAAGACATCGAATTCCGGCTGGTTGTGGTACTTCTCATAGTGGATCTTGAGCTTCTCCAAAGTGCCGTGTGTGTAGGGACACAGTTTGCAGCGGTAGGCACCATACCCTTGCTTGAAGATCCTGCTCGTTTCCTCTACGTCGTTCTGGGCTATATCCGTGGACTGCTCCACGTCGTGCACGAAGTCCTCTGCGGTCACCTTGATGGACGGATGTCGCTTCTGGTAGTGGGTCAGGACCCCGTGGATGCGGGTGTTGATATAAGGGCAGTGCCTGCATTTGTAGACAGCGCCGGGGTTGATATCGATGTCCTGGGCAAAGTCGGCAGCCTTCACCTTCATGCCTGGGTGCTTCTTCCCATAGTGGGTCAGGAGGCCATGCAGGTTGTTATATTCAGACTGACACACGGTACACTGGTATGGGGTGGAGGAGATGGCGGGGTTAGCTGAGGCAAGCTGGATGGTCTTTTCAGGGGAAAGCCTGGCATCCTCGGGGCATTCGCCTTCCTGCTCAGGGAGCGGGCCGGGCAGGCTGTTTTCACAACTCACAGGGCCCACCAGGTCTTCAGAGGAAGGCATGGGATTCTCCACGGCATCTTTCTCCTTGATGATATCCAGCAGCACCGACTCGTCCCCGTTCATGGCCCAAGGGTGGAATGCTTGGTAGTGATTGGTGATGTCCCAGATGGAGAGGGCTTCGAAAACACAGTCTCTGCATCTGTACGTTTTGGCTTCAGCTGGCATAGTGAGAGAGGGAGGGGACGGGTCTGGCCCCGCCCAGAGCTTCGTGGCCATGTAGGTGTAATCCACGTAATGCTCGGGGTGCCTCCTTTGGTAATGTAGGAGCAAACCACTTGGCTCTGTATGGGAATAGATGCACCACTCGCAGTGGTAGCCAGCTTCTATCAAGCCATCTAGAAATGCCCATCGCATGATGGACGTGACCGTGGCCTTCAGGGCTGGGTGGTCTTTCTTGATATGCTTCCTCAGGGCATAAAAGTAGGGGGAGGTGTACGAGCACTGCCTACACTTGAGCGCTCGCAATTTTGTTTTGTCCCGCTCCACACCCGATGGGGAGAGCAGCACGCAGCTGGCAGGCTTCTTCTGGTTGCGGTCGCAGAGGCTTCGGATGGTGGCCGTGTGCTGCCGGATCACGTCCGCGTTGGCCTTGAAGTCTCGGTGCTTCTTCTGATAATGAATGAGGACACCTTTGACCGTCCGGTTCCCGTAATCACAGTGCTGGCAAAAAAACATCTCATTCTCCACGGGAGGGCCATCTCTCTCGGAGCTGCTCCGGTTGAGCTGTTGCATAGGGGCGGATGACCGGGGGGAGCCATGGGGCCCCTCCGGCCCTCTCATCATTGCAGCTGTGGGAGGAGCCTGTCTGATATATTTGGCAGTAACCTTTATTTCTGGGTGTCTTTTCTGGTAGTGGACAAGGACGCCCACAACTGACCGATTGCTGTAGGAACAGTGTTTGCAGTAGTAAAGGTCAGTACTGAGGTCTGGCGGGGGTTGTGGGGGGGGTGGGGAACCCATGGTGGACATTTTGGGAGACATTGGAGCACCCACCTCAAATGATAACTGAGAAAGGGCAGAGCCCCTGTCCACAGACACCATTCGCATGGTTTTCTGGATCCTAAAGTAGGAAGCCTTTTCTTCTGGGTGTTTCTTCTGATAATGAACCAACACAGAGTGCATGTTCGGACTCGCGAAGGAGCAAACGTCACAGTCGTACACGACCACGGTGTTGACCGAGGGGTCCTTCTGATTTTCACATTCTGGAGGAAAGGTCTTGGAAGGAGTGTTTTTGGGGAATGGAGCTGGCATACCGCCACCACGGGCCACGGGAGTGGACGTGGCCATGTTCTTCGGAGCCGAATTCAGGATCTCCCGCAGCGTCTGGGATTCCGTGCCTAGCCCCTCCTGCTGCTCCACCACGTAGCTCGAAAAGATCATGGCATTGTTAATCTTCACGGTGGGATGCATTCTTTGGTAATGTGGCATCAGGCTTCGGACGTTCGGGCTTGTGTAGGAACAAAACCGACACCGGTAGATCAGGTCCGAATGGTCAAAGTTGAGGACATTCATGGCTTCTGGGTGGTGTTCGCCGTAATGCTGCTGCAGGTCTTCGAAGTTGGTGTAATCAATGTAGCATTCCAGGCACCGGTACACTGCACTGTGATCGTTGGGGTCCAAGATGTACCTGAAGCTGAACTTAATGTATGGGTGCATGCGCTGGTAGTGGGTGCTGACGCTCCGGGCAGATTTGTTGTTAAAGTCACAGTGTTTGCAATAATAAAGCCTTCCCGAGTCACTAAAGTCGGTATTTTCATTATTGTGCTCAGTTGCGTAGATAGGAGTCTGGGTGTTCAGCAGAGTGGTATTGGAAACCTGGTGATCTTTCATGTTGGTGGAGGAGCCGTAATAATCCTCTTCATCTTCAGAAAGGGTGAGCTCTATTTCAGCCCCATTGGTGGCATTGTAATCATGGGCAACAGTTCTGAAGTTGGGCTCCTTTGGGGGCTCAGGGGCCTCTCTTGCCCAGATCTGCTGGGCAGAGAAGGGCGTGGGCACCTCGAGGACGGGCTCCGGCGGCTCTTCCTCCCTGTCCAGCTCCACCTCGATCTCCACTTCATTGTCCTCTTCTTCCTCCTCGTCATCCTCCACGTTGATCACCGCATCTTCCTGCTGTTTTGTTTGGTTAATTTTGCTCTGCAGGTTGCTTGCTATCTCGTCAATCCTGGTCCTCTTCTTCACGGGCGACAAGTCGAGCGGAAAGTCGTTAGCGAGCTTCCTAGAGGCCTTGGCGACAAAATTGTTCTTGGAGGACAACCCAAGAATTGAGGTCTGACTTTTCTTCACAGTGTTGCTGGAAGAGGGGTGGCTGTCTGTCTCGCTGTCCAATGGCAGGCTTGAGGGCTGCCCCTCGAATTTTGGCAAGTTGTCGCAGAAAGAGTGTTTGTGCTGCTGATGAACTCGCAGCCCTTTCAGAGTCGTGGTGGAGTAATTACACATGGTGCACTTGTAGGGGTGCAGGGGTGGGGCTTGTGCGGGCGGCGGGGGAGGCGGCGGGGGCAGCTGGGGCTGGGGTGGCAGCTGATGGGGTGACTGTAGCTGCGGCGGCTGAGGCTGTGATGGAGGAGGTGGTGGGGGGGGCGGCGGCGGAGGCGGCTGTTGCTGCTGCAGGGGATCCAGCAGGACCCCCGACTTCCTGCCATTGATGCTTGAGCTCTCGTAAGACATGACACCTTCATTCAGTGAGGAGGAGATGCCTTCACTCTGTGAATTCACAGCATCCCAATCTGACGTGGTACCCGTGTGACACTGTTTGTGAGCCCCAAGTTTTAACGAGCTCTTGCAAGTAAACGGACATTCATCACATTTGTAGACGGCTGTCTTTCCAGATAAGTGGATGTTTTCTATGTGACGGGAAATACTACGTCGATGCATGGTGAGGAAAGGACAAAAGGGGCACTGGAACCTATTCATGAATCTTCTAAACGGGATCCCCTTGGTCTCCAATAATTTGTTGCCATCTGAGCCCATCAGCTGCTCTGCAGACATGCCTGCCGTCGGGTGATCCATAGCATTCAAGCCGTTTTCACTGTCTATCTCATTTAACTCTTCATCGGAACTGGAATCATTCAGCATGCTATTAGTTTCCAGGTCAGCAGCAGAATTGGTCATCTCGGGCATTCCGTACCGGGATCTCTCTGCCAAGTTCACAAGGCCAGAATTGTGAGGTGACTTCGGCTTCATCTGAGGGTAAGACATGGGCGAAAACTTGGAAGTGGAAGAAGAATTGGGTCTCATGATGGAGTTGCCGATGGAGCCCCTGAAGCTGGAGACGTTAGTGTTGGGTAACTCGCGGCTGGCAGCATTCATGGACAGATAGGCGGAGTTCGAAGTGGGGCTGAGGTCGTTCTTGTTCTGTGCCTCAGGCACACTCGTCCCTTCTTGCTGCTGCCTGAGACTGGACAGGATCTTGACCATGCTGCGGTGCTTCTTCATCATGTGGTCACACCAGCGTTCTCGGCGGGGGGTCTGATAGCTGCACCACTCACAGCAAAAGTTGCCTCGAGACTTGGTCAGCGGCTTGACCATGGATTCTAAGATGCTGCGCTCCACAACCTCCGCTGGCAGTTCCTTGCAGGGGTCCTGCAGGGACATGGGTTGGACCACCGGGTCTGGCATTGGAGCAGGGGCAGGGGGGGGAGCAGTGGTCTCCTTCAAATTGTTTTTGTGATACATCTTCTGATGCTTAATTATTCTTGCCCTCCTTGGTGACTTGTATGTGCAAAACTGGCAAGAGAAGACCTTTCCAAATCCCTCATGCATCATGATATTATAATTTAAGGATCCTGGAACAGGGGGTCCGGCTGAACTCCCTTCAGCTTGAGCTCCGTGGACCTTTCTAGTGTGTTCAATGAGGAGGTTTTTTGACCTGAAGTAGCGCACACAGAACTTGCATTGAAAAAACTTGTTTGTTGGTTTGGGATTAGGGGCAATATGCTGACTGTAGTATCCTGGACTATGGCCATAGTAACTTCCAGTCCCCAAGGCGGCTGCATTTTGACCTAAAGAGAAAGCATAAGGTAAGTGGGAAGAGAAGAGCGAAGCAAAAGCAAATCAAGAAACTCAATCATGCAAATCCAGTCTGCTTTTCAATTATTCTTCATTAATAAACATCACATTCAAAAGGCCTAACATCTCAAGATGAGGCCCTGAAGAGTATTAACGAAGCGTTAATGAACACACACATGTTGCCTCTCATGGATGGAAGGTAGTGCTTGGCTTCAGGTGCAAGACTCCCCTCATCTCTGTCTATGTGCCACAGAGCCGTGCAAGTTTCATAAAAGGCGATATTCATTCTAGAACTTTCCAAGATACTACCTTATGCTCCAAATTGAAAGGAAGCTAAGAGACATAAGGAAGCTGAAAGGACTATTACCTGGGCCACTCAGCAAGAGAAACGTGACACCCAAATCACAAAAATGGCTCATAAAGGGGAATTCCAGGGGTTAGGACTCTGTGCTCTCCCTGCCATGGCCCAGGTTCAGTCTCTGGTCAGGGAACCAAGATCCCTCAAGTTGCATGGTGCAGCCAAATAAAAGAGAAAAATGGCTCACAAAGAGCAAGAAGCTCTCTAGGAGCCGTGCATGTCAAAAACCATGGCTACAGCTGCCTCATTAGGGTCCACAGCCTTTACCTGTACAGGCTGCTCTAAGCAACTTGAAGACAGGCCCCTCCAGGGGACATTCCTGACTGGCACGCCATCCCCAATCCAGGCTCCAGACAGGGTATGTGCTGTGACTTTAGAAAGCCCCAGGGCATAGTGGCCGGGGTTCACATTGGCAAGTCATAACGTCCATCCATACCAAGTTGTAGAACAAGAAGTATGTGACTGAGGCCCTCCACAGGGCCAAGTTCAAATTCCCAGGCCACTAGAAGAGCCGCTCCTCCAGGAAATGGGGATTTACTAAGTTTCCTGCAGATGAATCTGGAAACATGGTGCAGAAAAGTGGCTCATCCCAGATGGCTGTGGCGTCAAATACACCCCTTATCATGGCCCTCTGGACAAATGGTGGGCTCTGCATTCATTACAGTCTTGGTGCTGTCACCTCCTTACTCATGCCCACCAGTAAATCCTACTTTCCTGTCAAAAAATTTACAAAAAGAACTACAGCTATAGGCTCAAAATAGATGAGCGTAGTGAAATACACCAGACGTGTCGATCTTAGTTAAGTTGATCCTAGTTAAGATACCTGTTAAGTCCTCTGCAATCGCAAATTCATCCTTTATAGATGAAAACTCCACCTCTGTCTGGTTACTGGCATTTATGGACCCAGATCGTGACTCATTCACATTGTCTTCAGCAACGTCCGTCGGCTGCAGAAATGCCGTGTGGACATCCTGGATGTGCGCCTTGAGATCTTCATAAGACGGGGCTCTGAAGTCACAGCCATCACACTGAAGCACCTCCATCATCTGGGTCTACTCTCTCACATTAGGAACCTGGGGCAGAAGGAAGAACAAAAAGTCTTAAGGCCTGTACTCACTGCATACCCCCCAAGCTGGTGGGGCTACGAGTCCACTAATGAAAGAATTCCAGTATCAGCCAATTTCTCTCACTGGACTTTGCCAGATGCAACAGTGGCCAAAGAAAGGAAATCAGACATAATAGGAATGGTGTCCTTGACATCATAGCTTCAAAGAAAGGAGGGGAAAAAAAAGATAAACTTTTTCTAGCTTGATATATCTTCAAATGCCATTTGTCAAGAAAACCCTTAATACTGCAAAAGTTTTCGTAGTTTCTGAGTGTCTTGACTGATTTCAGATTTCTTGGTAAGTTAATACTGACTTTGATTCTGGCTGAGACCTATTTTTTTTTTTGAACTGGAATCTTCTCAGAAGTAAAGAGACTGCCCATATAGAAGAAAGAGTAAACTTCAATCTTCATTAGCTGTTTTCATACGAGAACATCAATGTTTTATCACCAAATGGTAAAACAGTGTGGAACCTCAGAGTAGCAGTGGAAAAAGCTTTTACTGTACTTTTTATTCTTCTACTATCTTAACTGATATTAAGATACACCTCCTTCTTCCTTCCCTTTCTTACACAGTGTATTTTTTTTCTTTCATGAGCTAAATGGTTATTTGCTTTTTACTACCTACCAATTATAACCTAACAGCTTCTCCAATCTAATTAGGTCATAAAATATTTCTCATGAGATTCTCAACAACCGACTCTAGATGACAATCCAGTTTCTAGTTTCAAGTTGCACCTTGGTACCTCGATTCACACTAAGGCAACAGAAACACATGTGGTTTGGAAGAAGGGCTTCTAATGCAGGACCTTCTCTTTTTCCACTTTTCTCCTTTACAAATGTAAAGTGCGTACTTGGGCATAAAAAGCTGGGAAGCTGATTTCAAATAAAGCAAAACTTGCCCTGGCCACCTTTGCCCTGCTATTTACTGTGTGACTGAAAGATACACATAGCTTCCCATAAACTCAATGGAGACACTCACCATTAAGAAGTTAAAAATGTATTAGAAGGCATGCCCTTCCTATCTTCATGTATATCCTGAATTGAGATAGCCAGTTATTATCCTAATGACGGAGTTACTTCACTGAGCTCATGGCAGACTCTACAAAGCCACTGTAATCTAGAACCAGATGTCCAAGCACAAAAGCCACAAGCCAAACCTTTCACTACTGTGATCATATTTAGCACCTTCCTATACTTTTATTGTAAAAGATCAATTATTCCTGCAGGGGGAATAAAGTCGAGGAATCTGTCAATGTAGTGAATGGAGGATTTTCTCTGAAAGAATGCTCCTGCTGATAGCCTGTGAAAATAACTCTGGCAAGTCCAGCTCTGGACAGCCTGAGCTCGCAGGGCGAGAGGCACTTATTTACCTTCTCTCCTTTCACCCAGCAGATTCTCCTTTTTCAATAAACCCCGAACTGTGCAGCAGACTTCTTTTCAGCTAACTCAGCCTCCATGTTCCGGGCCACACCAGCTTTTTTCTATCTCAGCACCAACCCAAATTGTGTGGAAGAGGTTGCTATCAGCTCTGGATCAAATTACAGCCGACACGGACGCCCCACCCCACTTCTCCTTTTCGCACAGCCCATTAGACCTGAAAACAAATTTTTCCATAGTGCAGACGACTCCTGCATTTAGAACACTTCACAGCAAAAAGGCGGATCATCCAGGGTGCGCTCCCCATCCCCCCAGCTTAGTCCTTTCATCTCAGCCAAACAAGCCACAGCTCTGCTGAATGTGTTTATCACACTTTCAAGAGATAGGAGCTCCTGCGTCACTGAAGCTCTAAGTCTCACTAAGCTGCCCTAGTCCTCTGAGCTTTAGGAGCGGCCATTTTAGCTCAGAGATTCCCCTCCGAGCACAACATGGCTTCTCTGGGATGGATGCTGCCAGGCTGACAGGCAGAGGAAACAGGAGAGGAGCAGTCTGGGCCCCTCCTCTGCCCTCCTCCTCTCAACAAAGAAGGAACTGTTTTCACTCCTTCCCGAAAAAGCAGCACCTTTCTCCTCCTCACATGTCATTCACCAAGGATCTCCCGAAGGTTCTTTTATCCCATGATTGATGGGCTGGTATGTTCATCCCAGCACAGCCCTGGTTACTGCAGGACATTCCTGGACATGACCCTGTTCTCCAGCAGCCTTTGGGGGTGTGCTGGAGGTGGGGGGGGAACCTCCAGAATGCCTTGGCTTCTTGGGAGTCGTCCTTCCACACAGAGAAGACATACCATCCGACTCTGCTTGCCGGATTCCAAAGTCTAATGACCTTTGTTAATCACCAGCCAGTCTGTCTGCCTCAGCAGACCCTGCCAACAGGCACACCCTTCAACACAAAGGCTGTAGCTATTCCTTTTAAAAGAGGTTCTCTGAAAGCTCCATTGTGTAGCCGAGAGGAAAACAAAATCTCTTCCCTTCAAAACTTCAAGCCTTTAGAAATAATGTAACAGAAGCCTTTCTGCTATGTGTCTTCTGGAAAGTTTGAGCCTCATTCTCACTATATCCACCCAAAAAATGACAGTTCTGCCCAAGGAAAGCAGGACACCTTTGGCATTAAGTCATCCAGCCCGAGATGAAATTCATCTCTCCACACGGGTCTCTAACATCTTGGTGTCTTCCAAAGCTGTTAAGGATTCAGACTTCACTGGATGCAAACGCAAACCAACAGCCTTCTTGTTCTGCTACAAAGGAGATTAAAGGGTTAGGAGATCAGGGGAAAAAAAAAAAAAGGCCCTGATTTGGAAAAAGAAGAGATGATGAAAGTGATTTCCTAATGGGTTCTAGCTTTAATGTTGTTGCAGACTCTACCTCAAAAATAGCGCAGAGCCTTAGAAGAGGTTAATCTCCAGGCTGCCAAGAGAACCAGCGTCAGGTACGGCTGAACGGCCTTCAATTTGATGTCCTGAAATGAGGATGTAGCCTCCTCTGAAAGGCATTTTGTCTTTGTGCACACATTGCTCCTGGAGACGCTGACAGAAGAAAACAGAAATTGCCAGCATGGCCTCAACAATCAAAGACTCAGAGACTTGATGTTTTTATGAGACTGAGGACGGACACATGGGCAAGAAGCGAGAGGAAGAGGAGACGGAAGAGGGGAGGAGAGAGACAAAGAAAGCTGGACCTGAGGATGACCCATTCATCAACCCAAGGATGTTTTTGCAGCAGATGGTAATCCTCTGAGAAACCAACAACAAAGATGGAAACAAAGATGAGAAATACGCTCTTGCATATTTGACTGTTTCATCAACCGAGAAAGAACAGCAACCCTAAAAGGCTAAACCAGACACTGATACTACCAAATGATGGTTTAAAGTTAACAGCCTTGGTCTCCTATCTACTTACTTTATTTAAAAATACTGCTGCGATAATGAGATTAGCAGCAATATTTTTTTTCCCACTGACCAAATCAGCAAAATCAAAAGCAGAAGAGAAAGCTTCTGAACTAACTAGAAAGAAATGCTATTTCAAAAGGTTCTGAGTTCAATCTACAAATCAAACAAGCACCCCCCGTCCCCATCTCCTACTCCCAATGCAGTATCTCCAGACCATTCAAGGTCAAACAGGCATCAGAAGACTAGACTCTCAACACCATCCATGATGATGCCTTGGCAGGCAGATGAATATGGGTTTGTTCCCAAATAAGCTAACACCTAATGTGATTAGTCCTCCTAATGTGAAACCTCTAGACTATTCCAATTTTCCATGACTCCGCAGTGCTATTGATTACCACTGGTTGGTTTGTTCACTTTACATTTATAGGCTGGGTGTTTCAAGAGGTGGGGTTTTGTTGGAAAACCCAAAACCCAACTTTCATGTTGGACAAACTCTTGAAGACATTTTTAAAGAAAATCCAGAGATCTTGTGAAAGGTTGGGAATATACACTTGAGAACAGGGAAATGGAAAGAATGGCCACTGGCTGCTCTTTCTCAATCTTAAAAACAGCAACTGTCAACTTATTTACAAAACAAACTGACTCAAAGACATAGTAAATAAACTTATGGTTACCAAAAGGGAAAGGGGAGTGGGGGGAAGGATAAATTAGGAGTTTGAGATTAGCAGATTACTATATATGAAATTACAAGGTCCTACTGTACAGCACAGGGAAATATGTCCAATATCTTATAATAAACTCTAACAGAAAAGAATCTGAAAAGGAATATATTATATATGTATGTATAACTGAATCACTTTCTGTATATCAGAAAGTAACACAACATTGTAAATCAACTATACTTCAATTTTTAAAAATCACCAATTTTAATTTCTACCATCTGCCCACCCCGTTCTGTATTTAGAATTCCCAGGGGCCCATTATGCCTCTGTTTTCCTCCTGTGAAAGTGAAAGGTTACATTCCAGGGGTTCATCCTGTGTCCTCCCCACTCACTGCCCAGACCCAACAGGAGAAGGGAGGCACCCTGGCTTACTGGAGGGTGCTTCCACAATCCTGCCACCACCAACCTGCACCCGGGTCAGTCTGGGGAGCACTGTTCTCCAAGCTTGCATGGAGCATGAATATTTTCAAGTCAAAATCCCAGCTGTCTCTAGGAAGTGTCCATGTGAAAACGTGCAGGCTTTGTCTAGACCTACACTGTTCCCCGACTGAAGGACTGCAGACCAGAAATAAAACCATGAAGCACTATAGCCACAGGGATTCAGGAACAACTAATTATATACTTCAAAGCCTTTGAGAAATAGAACCAGAAACACCGTAAGATGCCTTTCCTCTGTCCACTCCAGAAACCCAGTTTCATTTATAAGACACTGAACTTCCCAGTTCTCCCGAATAAAACTCTAAGAAAAGGCTCTAGTGAGCACCTGTTGTCTTTGCTTTTACTTCCTCCTTTCCTATGAATAGAAAAACCAATCACCCAAGGTCAGGCAGTGGAATGCATAAACTTTGGAACTGTTCAGCTGGAAAGACAGAAAAATCAGAAACTTAAA